GGGGTCATAAGGAGGAGGGAGAAAACTTGTTCATCTTAGCCTCTAAGGATAGAACAAGAAGCAATGGGCTTAAACTGCAGCAAGGGAGGTTTAGGTTGGACATTAGGAAAAAGTTCCTAACTGTCAGGGGGGTTAAACACTGGAATAAATTGCCTAGGGAGGTTGTGAAATCTTCATCTCTGGAAATATTTAAGAGTAGGTTAGATAAATTTCTATCAGGGATGGTCTAGACAGTATTTGGTCCTGCCATGAGGGCAGGGGACTGGACTCGATGACCGCTCAAGGTCCCTTCCAGTCCTAGAATCTATGAAACCCAGCTCCTTCAAAATAGCCCCCACCCTTGCTCCGTGGGCTCCCAGGCTGCCATGTGGGGCTGGAGTCAGGAAGTGGGATCACCAGCAGGGGGCGGGGTTTGCAGCACTGTTGGGGGGAGGGGAGCTGGGATGGGTCCATGTTGAGAGAGCTAGGGGTGAGGGGCACTGGCAGAGCTGGGTGTGGAGCCCAGGCTGGGATGGCCGGGGCTGTGGGTGGGGGTGAGGGGCATCCGACAGGACGGGGTGTGGAGCCCAGGCTGTGATGGCCGGGGCTGTGGGTGAGGGGCACTGGCAGGGCTGGGTGTGGAGCCCAGGCTGGGATAGTTGGGGATGTGGGTGGGGTGAGGGGCACCAGGGGGCATTGGCTTGCACAGATCTTGTCCTGTTATGATTAGTTTGGCCTGTCACCCCTCCCCCCTCACTAACCCTCCCCCCAATATCTCTGGCACTGTGGTGTGGGGAAGGGAGATTTAGTGTCTATAAACTGGGACCCCAGACCCTACCAACCTCATCCCGGGGAGTCTGGGGGCCAGAGTGAGGGCTCCGCATGGAGATCCCCACCATAGTCCTTTGGCTCCCGTCCTGCCCACTGCCCTGGGGAAGCCCACAGTGGGGAAACTGTGGGGCAGGACTGGGGGATTGGAGAACACAGCACACTGTGCTCCTCCAGCCTATTTCCCCCTTCCCCGGGACAGCGTGGCCCCCTACCTTCTATCCCCACATCCCAAAGGCAGCGTGGCCCCCTACCGTCTATCCCCCCCTGGGGGGCAACATTGCTCCCTATGGTCTCTTTACCTAGTTATCTGTAAGTGTGTGCCTATGCTGGTGGCCTGGCCCCCCCTCACTAACTCCCTCTCTTTCTCTCTCTCTGTGTCTGTCTGGCTGCGTCTGGGGGTGTCCCTGGCAGAAGAGCACACGATGGAAGGTGAGTGACCCCTTTGCATTCCCTGTGCTGGCTGTGGATGGCGTGGGTTGGGGCCATGCTACAAGAAGCAAATTCATGTCTTGCTATGGGGGGGTCTGTTTCCTGCTCCCTTGCCCTGTGGGGGTCCATTGAGAAGTGCCTGGACTTGGGGGACTCCTGGGTGACTGGGTTGGGGTTCCCCTGTGTTCCAACAGCGCCCTAGCTCTGTGCTCCCCCTACATGATGGTGAATTGGATCCCAAGGGGTCACTTACTGCCGGGGTGTCTGTCTCGGGGTTGCCCCTACAGCTAGGCATCGCCAGTTGTCTTGGGGTTCCCCCAGCCCTCCAGGGTTTGTCTCTGTGTGTGTGGTAAGAGCACAGTAATAGCAGTCTGTCTCTGTGGCTGTTTGCCCCACGGGAGGAGGGGTCATACACCGCTTTGTCGCTAGGGCGGGGTGGGGGTACGTGTTGGATCCTGTGCATGACTGAGGGGGTTGGGGAAGGACTGGATCAGAACCGAGATATTGGGGTAGAAAGCTTCCCAATCTCCACAAACACAGCCCATAAAGCCCCCCCCCCCCATTGCTCTCCTAGACTGGAATAGTCTGTAGGGGGCGATCCTGCCCTGGGGGTGGAAAAGACTGCACCACACAAATTAGAAGGCACCCCCACTTCTGTGGCCTTCCCAGCCACCATGCTCTCCCTCCTGCCCCCAAGCCCCTCCTCCCTGGGCTCTGGACCGTCCCCTTTCTCCCTACTCCTTGAGGGTTGTCTCACTTGTGGATGTAGCCTTGGCATTTGGGGGCAGGGTTGTGACCTCAATTTGATTGTGATTTTTGTGCAGCTTGTCTAAGAGACCAGGGAGGAGGGTGGTATGGGGAGGGGGTGTTGCCCTTGTCTGTCCCCCATACAGTAATTGGGGGATGGGTTGCATGGGGAGTTAAAGGGGGCAGGGAATGTGATTCCTATGGAGGGATTGTTGGGTGGGGGTGCTTTGGTGTGTCAGTATAGTGCGTATGTGCTGTGTGGTGAAGGCAGTGCATGGAGGTGAGTCTGTGGAGGTTGTGTGCAGAGGTTAGTGCATGTGGGAGGTGTGGGGTGGGTATGTGGTATGTATGACTGCATTGTGAATGTGTGTACAGTGAGCATGCACGAGCACTGTGTGTGTGTGCGTGTTCAGAGTGCGAGTGGTGTGTGTGTACGCTCAGAGTGCGAGTGGTGTGTGTGTGCGTGCTCTGAGTGCGTGAGTAGTGTGTATGTACACTCAGAGTGCGTGAGTGGTGTGTACGTGCTCAGAGTGCGTGAGTGGTATGTGCGTGCTCAAAGTGCAAGTGGTGTGTGCATGTGTGCAGAGTGCGTGGTGCTGTGTGCGTGTGTGCAGAGTGCATGAGTGGGGCGTGTGTGTGTGTGAGTGGTGTGGATGAGTGGTGTGAGCATGCGTGCTCAGAGTGCGTGAATGGGGTGTGTGTGTATGGGGCACGTGTGTGTGTGTAAGTACAGTGTGTATGTGTGCTCTTTTGGATGTTGATGTGTGTTGTGTTGCTTGTAAATACAAGTTGTGTCTGTGAGGGATGTGTGTGTTGTATATTTGATTTCTCAGTTGTGGTCCCAGATGAGAAAGGCATCTGATCTCCATGGGGGAACCCGGCCCCCCAACGCATCTCCCCATCCCCTCGCCCAGTTACCAGGGCCAACAAGGAATCCCAGAGTATCTAGGGAGTGCAACTCCAAACCCTCCCCCGCCCCCGTCCCCCCGGATCCCTAACTCCTGTGCAGGGGCTGCATCTCAGTGCTGGGCAAGGGATCCCACAGGCATCTGCATCTCAGCACTGGGTGAGGGATGCCTGTATAAATATCCCCGGCACCTCATTCCCACACACTGCTCTCTATCCCCACACACACACTCTGCCCCTCACTCCTCTTTTCCCCCAGAGCTTCCCAGTCAGTTCCTACACACACACTGGAACTGGGTCGTAGCAGGTGCCCCCCGCCAGAGGGGAAAGTCCCCATATCCCATTCCCCACCCCCCTGAACCAGACAGTCCCCGTTCTGTCCCTGGCTCTGCCTGCTGGGTAAATTCATTTTTTCCATTCATGTTGAACCTCAGCTGGGAGCTCAGGGCAGCAGCCATTTCCCTCTCCAAATCCCATCTCGTATTGCATTGGCAGGTGTGTTACTGTAGGGTATCCTGGGTGTGCTGGGGTTGTGTGGGCTGGTGTGTTACTGTAGGGTCTCCTGAAGCACTGCAGCTACCCTCTCATGTCTGTTACTGTAGGGTCTTCCCAGAACACAAGGGCAATGCGGCATGCGGAATGGGTGCTGTGCCGGGCTGGGGTGTGTATGGAGGTCAGGGGAGATTTGTGTATGGGAATGGGAGGGCTCTGGGCCCATAGGGGGCTGGGCTTGGGAGACTGCCCCCCAGCGGGCTGGTGTGCTCCAGGGAGGAGAGTTTGGGGCTGGATGAGTTGGGGTGTAGATAGCATCCGTTTTGCAAGCAGACCCAGGAGTCCCCAAGCATGGGGGGAATCCAGCCAGTGGCTCCCCGGTCCTTTCCCACAATCCCCCTGGCAGCTGGCTGAGTGCCGCAGTAAATAATGGGCAAGGGAGGGGGGTTGGCAGTTGCGGGGTTCCCAGGGCCTGAGGGGAGCCGTGGGTGTGTGTCTGGGAGCTTAGGGGTTCTCAAGGGACCTGTGAGGGGAAGCCTCTTGCCTGTATTTTCTCTGCCCCCTCCCCCCCACTCGCTGTGTGAGGCTTGTCCCTGAGCAGCCATCTTGAGACTAACCAGCTCAGGGACCATGCTCCCCTCTAACGTGCTCTCTATTGCCCCCATTGCAGAGACCCTGCTCCAGCGCGCCCCACATCCACCCACAGAGATCATGCTGCCTACCCCCATCACAATCCACCCCAAACGGAGACCAAGCCCCCCCACCCCATTGCAAGAGCGGGCTTAGAGCTGGGAGCCAGAACTCCTGGGTTCTAATCCAGCTCTGGGAGGGGAGTGGGTGTTGCTGGTTGGTGGAGCAGGTTGTGTTTCAGGGTGGGGGCTGGGCACTCTGGGGGCTGCTTCCCTGGAATGTGATTGTGCCCGTGTCACGAGCAGGGGGACGTGTGTATCTCTAGTGGAGCCTGGATGCAGTGTGTGTATGGAGGGGAATGGGACTAACTCTTTGGTCCCTGCTTGTATTTCCCTGTCCCCCGCTTCTATTGTGCTGCTGTGTCGTCGCACAGCGCCTGTGTGGAGTTTGTGTGTCAGTCTGCCCTTGTATCCTGCCACCATTTTGTCCTCGGTGGCCTAATGGGGAGAAGGTGACTGGCCGTGTGTGTGTGTGTTTGAGACTGTCTGTCTCCCTTGGATTGTGTAGGGGCGCAGTTGTGCGTGCGTGTGTGTGTGTATGTGTCTTTTGGGGGGGTTACAAATTGTGTGAGTGCACTGACTTTGTGTGTGCAGGGGTACAGTCTGTGTGTGTGTGTGTGTGTGTGTGTGTCCTGGCCACCCCCTGGTACTGTGTGCTGCAGTGGCGGGGGATGGACGGGCGTCTGTGCCGGGGAGATAAGATTTAGCAGCATGGTGACTTGATGCCGTGTCTGCTCAGAACGGGGAATTGCTGAAGAGAGGGGTAGGGACTTGGGTGCTGCAGCCTCCCCATCCCACTGGGTGAAGCGGCAGGGGGCATAATGGCGGGGTGAGTTACGTTAAGGGGAGGCACTTGGTTTGCACAGACAAGAGTATGGGCACAGCAGCCTAGGTATCGTGTGCGCGGGGGTGTAGAACCTGTGCCACTGGGCATGGGGCGCTGCACACACGTCAGTGCACACAGACACTTGCCTCCCATGCATAGTGTGGGTATAGAATAGGTGTGCAAATGTGCCATGTGGAATATAGCCCTCCTGCGTGTTTTCTGTGCATTCCCCCCTGCTTGTGGGTGAATGTTTTGCATGGAACGTGCCTCTCCCGTGTGTTTGGCTCGTGTGGCACATGTCTGTGTGTAAGCATGTGGGATGCATGATGTGCTTCCTGAGTATTCTGTGTGTGTATATGTGTGAGCATGCCATGTGGAACATGCACCTCCGGTGGTTTCTGTGTGTGCAGAGTATGGCTGTGGGTGAATGTGTTGGAGCACCCCCCTTTCCTGTGTTCCCCATGTGTGGGATGAGAACATGCATACAGTTGTGCTCTGCTTAGCCATATATGGACACACACAAAGAACATGCCACCTGTGGAGCCTGCATGTGTCTGCATGGGAAATGAGATGCCTGTCTCCTCTGCATGTATTGTGTTTGGAGCGGGTGCTGCCCATGGGGGTGTGCATGTCTGTGTGTGTGTGCTTGTATGTTCATATCTGTGTGAGTGTGTGTATATTGCCTGTCTTTTGAACCCACACCACCTGTGTGCAGAGTCTGTACGATAGGCCCCACCTTTCCCTTGCATGTGCAGAGAAAGCAGTCCTATGCATCCTTTGGCCTGCACATCATTGGCATGAAAGATGTGCACATGCTCACATGCGTGTGCACATACACCTTGCCATGCCTCCTCTGGCTCCTTGCACCTCCCATCCATGCCCCACAACCCCCCACCCCTCCCACACAATGAATTTCCCTTTCCTGGCTCTCCCCATTTGAAGGCTGGGGCATACAGCTGCAGCTCCCACCCCATTAGTCCATGACTCCCAATCCCCCTGCCCTTATTCCCCCCAGCATCCAAACTCCCGAGGGCCACTGGCCTTGTGTTATGCTAATGAAGGGGGGTATTGGAACCAATGGGCTGGTGTTTTGCTAATGAAAGGGGTATTAGAACCAGTAGGCTGGTGTTATGCTAATAAAAGGGGCTATTGGAACCAATGGAGTATTGATATGCAAATGAGGGAGATTGGAACCAATGAGCTCATGTTATGCAAATACATGAGCTGTGATTTGCATTATTTGGGGCCCTGCGCTGTTATTAATCTCCCGAGCAGCGGCTCCATGCCGATTACGAGCCTGTCATTAACCGACATGATCCGAGACAATGCAGGGCATGTTA